GACAGATCCAAACGGCCTTTGTTATTTCTCTGTTGGAAAATTCCAATAACTCCCTAAACCGTCCCCCCATCTTAAGCGCTTCTTTATTCAAATGTATCTTGCAAACTACTTCCAGGTGACAGACTCGAATTCTTCAAGTGTAAACACTGTTACTCACTTCAGTCTTCTAAAGAATACCAACATCTCTTCGTTGCCTGACAAGTGGCTTTTCTTTGCATTCAAATTTCTATACTATACGATTCCAACGCGTGTCAACGCTTGTTTCCTCGTATTCTCTATTTTTAATAATTTAATATTAAACAATTAAAATAATTAAACTAGTTAATATTCTACTACTCTATTTTTAATATTTCTTTTTATTTCTGACAAGTGTGTCCTTCTTTGAAGAATTGTTCTACTTCATTTCCATGTGATTCTGGTGGGCTGCCAATCGGAAGACTATGTATGGACTTTTGGCCACAGGGTTGTTACCAACCAGAGTCCCCTTCTCAGTAGGAATGTCCCAGGAATGGAAGGACACAGAGGGACTAACAGTAATGGGAACTGAATCACGTGAAAAATTCTTGGGATGCTCAGATGTTCAGAGTATTTGTGTTCCATATCTTTCTATTTCTTTTTCTTTTTTCTTTTTAAAATTAAATTTATCGGGGTAGCATTGGTTGGTTTTTAATTGAACGCATTACCAGTGACAAGTTCAGCTGATGCCAAAAATAAATTCTTCTGCCCAAATGCAGTTTATTTCCCACCCACTTCCTGTTACTATGTCAACCTCATCAACATGGATGGGATTTACAAATGTTATCATGTAAAAAAGTACCTCATTTATATATTTTGTTTTACTTAAAATTAAATTTTCTTATACCTTACTATATTTTAGGCCTTTTTTCTTTTTAATTAATTATTATTATTTTTTTTTGTGACATTGGTTAATGAAATCCAGTAAGTTTCAGGTATATCTTTCTTAATGTTCCTCTTATTCTCTATTCTTCCCCAAGTTCTTCTACTCGATTGTTTGAATTATTGATTATCCTTTCAAGAAATCATTTAACACATCATTCTTCCTTGCCCTATTGAGCAGACAAACGAAAAACAAAACAAAAAAAATTATTTTGTGCATGCCCACATACACTTTGGTTTAAGAACAGTAGTTTCTATGACTTGCAACCAAGGAACGCTAAATGCAGGAATGAGAAGGGGAGGGCTGCTGGGGAGAACAGGGCACAGACCCCCAGAGATTACGGAGTAAGTGAAATTAATTATTGAGCTACGATGGCATAAAAATCAATGGGATTGACATTAATAGTCCAAAGTGGGAAATTAAGAATCCACAATATACAGCGGAGAGCTGGTAAATAAAATATTGACCAAGTTGCCTGGGACACTGAGGGTGAATCTTTTAGGGACTGGTGGATTTTGTAATACACTGGATAAATTAATCGGAGTTGGAATTATGAGCTCAAAGGTTAAAATTGTCACTTTGAGGCATGGACAAAAATCCAGAGTCTTCTTGTCACCAAGCCCCAAGCATTTCTTTTTTCCTAGTTGTCATAGGACTAAGATTGATCAAAATTATACTCAGAGAAGGATCAGTCCGCTTGTTAAATTAGATCCGGTCAGTTGAATATGTTGCCATCTATCTTACATAAATCTTGAGGAAATTAATGGGATACGAGCTGTTTAGTAGCTATGTTAGTAAGGATTTGAAAAACCTGAAGAAACCTGAACTACCAACGCTCTTGGCCAACATTCCTAGTTTCCTCTCTTGATCAAGGAAGCAGTGTCTCTCACAGAAGAAATAAAATGATTCCTCTGGCACCTGAACCCCGTTAGCGCTGACCTCATTTCTCATTACTTTGATGATCTTTTATTCCATTTCCCTTTGATTACTCCATCCATGGAGGTCTGCATTCCTTTGTGTTGAGATATTCTTGAATTACATTATTTTATTTGAGTCGCTAACAGGATTGAACATTTTACTTTAGTTTTGGTGCCTTGTTGGGAAAAGTGAAAGATTGGGAAGAACCGAAACTGTGAGGAGGGGGAGGATTTATAAGGTTTGGATATGTTTTTCTCTGATTAAAATGTTCCACACGTTTTATTTCTAGGGAGATTGGAGTCCACATAAGTTTGAGGCAGGCATCACTTACTGGATGCTCTGAATAACATTGCCCCTTTTTCCTCCTGTAAATATGTTCCAAGACTCTGTACCTTCTTCGACAGACCTGGAGCAATTACTATCTGATACTAAGGTTTCCAGATGTAAGAAAACAGTGTCATCTTACTTTCTATTTGACATGGCAGCCTGGGTCAAATGGAGGAATACAGGAGAACAACATGATAATGCAGGGAAAGGCATGCAGAGGAATTTTGCAACTCAGAAATAACCTTGTAGACAGTAAAGAGCCCGTTTTACTCCAAAGAAGAATCTAAAGTTTGAGTTTATATGAAGAGTGTTGGAAAATGACTCCCCTACAACCTTGTCTTCTGAACGATTCCTCTTTTAAAAGCTTAAGGGTTAAAACTAATTAAAAGCAAGCCAGGGGGCAAAAATAAATAAATAAATAAATAAAAATAAATAAAAAGGAAAACGAGCGCTTTGATATTCCATGTCCAAGGATGTTTATCTTATTATTTTTAGAGATTAATGAGAAGGAAGCCCTTTGCTTCACTCTATTAGAATAATGATCGAGTCCTAATTTTTATGTTTCAGAACTATTTTAACCCATTTCTCATTTGCCCGGAGAATACACAGTGGCGGCGCTTGTGGCTGTAGCGTTTACCCCAAGATAACTCGTGGAGAGCAGTCCTAACCTCACCCCAAAGTTCGCCACAAAAATATCTCACTTTTATTATTATTTTTGCATCAGTCTAGTCTATTGTCTATTGATAGTCTTTGGAAACAAATGACATCATTCTATTTATAGCATTCTGTTTTTAGTAGTAATATTTCCACTACTAATAGTAATTCTCGATCGCGGAAAATGTCAAATCCTAGAAAATGTAGCATCCCTACGCTTGATGTGAACATTGTTCTGGAACAGTTGTTAGCCACAGATTCATTTGATGAAACAGATTTATGTATACATTTCTGTTACATTAGGATTAGAGACAAGTTCTGTTGAGCAATAATTCCAAGAACAGTTTTTACATTTTATTTTCACAATGAAAACTAGTCAGATTTGCTTCAGCCTCAAAGAGCGTGTTTATGTAAAATTAAATTAACACTGGCAGTGAGCAAGTGGCACTTTTTTTTTTCTAAACGGGAAATGGGTTAAAATAATACAGTTTGTGAAAGGTAGTATTTTCTATTGCTTCATTCAGTGCCTCTTAAAGCATATTTACTGCTGTCTTTCATTTAATGACATTATAAAATAATTAAAGACTTTCAGAATTGTGGAGCCAAGAGTTACGTGTTATGGGGACAAAATGTGTATTTCGTATTCCTAAAGAAATATCCATCTTCTCTATGGGAAAAGAATTGTAGCCTGTCTTTCCTTAAATAAGGCTCCTTATATGCAAGGACCAAGAACCAAAATTAATTTTTTTATGCTAATGCCTTCTCACCCATACAATTTAATAGAATTTCACTTGATAAATATCCGAAATATTAAATTCTGTTTGAGGTTCCTCTCCTACAGAGTTAACAAAATGTTAGGATGTCTTTCCAAAAATACATGAAGTCAAAATGTCTTTAGCCAAGATCCTCTTCTTGATAATACCTATATATAATGAGTGTGACAGCATTCATGTACTCAGGATAAGTCAGAAAGCCTTAACAGAGGACAAATGTGGAGGATTCAGTCACTGAGCTGAACGAGGACACTTTCTGGTCACTGAAGGATTGTTTTTCTAGGGGTTGGGTGAGGTAGCTCTACGCCCTTCAAATTACTGGAAGAAGGCTTATCACGCTCCAAGTCCATTTAAGGAAATACAGTTGACATTTTTACATTTTCCTTTCCTTCCTCAGGGCTTAATTAACGTTAGGGTAAAGTTGCTAAAACTTAGAACATTTGGGAACTTCGTTGTTTTTCCTTTTTGTGAGAATCAGTGATTTTTGGAGCTTGTCTTTTTGTATTTGTTTTCAATACTTGGGTGAGATTTAGCAAGATGTTTAAAGCTGAGGCTGGAGTAGAGTAACTCTCCAGACTTAGAGGAAGTCTTACTTTCATAGACTATGCGATGGAGATCAGCATTCTAACCCTCTTTAACAGAGAATCGGGGACTTATTATTATACAGTTTGTTAGAATTCATGCTCAACACAACAAAGAACCTTGGCTTCTTCCGATGCCCTGTGAATAAAGAGGAGTGCCACAGTTATTTACAGGACTAGGCTTCTTTGGGGAGATTTTGTTCTAGTTCACCTTAGCTGATTCCTGATTCACAGGCTGCTATTTCAGCTAAATGCTGATGGAGAAGCAATATTAGGTGAGAGGCTAACAAAATGTGCTGCAGACTCTTCCATCATCCCTATCCTTATGGGACTTGGCTGTCAAAATATCCACTCAAGACAATGCCTTTCTTTCATCTACTCCATCCATTCTCATGAGTTTTATTTTCCTATTAAATTCTGCTTATGAAAGGACTGCATTCACTATTCACGTTTCTGTCATTTGCACTTTACAAGGTCCTCTGCTTATATTAAGCACCAGTCTATAAATTGTTCTGTGTATGTGCCCAGAAGCCCATTCCTTTTCTTACCAGCTCCCCCTCACCACTAGCAGTTGGCTTTGACTTAGTGGGGAGGTATAGACCCTCCAACATTCTTAGCTCAAGTGGAGTCTTCAATTAGATGGTAGAAACAGTTTAGCTTTGAAGATATCCTGGCTGCATCATCGGATCGGCTTGTAATTATTTTATGGCTAGCCTAAGACATGTTGAAACCATCATTTCTGAAAATGGACACAGTTATCTTAGTAGATAGGTGTTTGTTTATTGCATTTTACCACTTTAAAATTAGAGGTGACTTTTTCAGGAGAAATACTTTGATGCTAATCTCAGATAATTTCCAAGACTTTATTTCCCTGAATAACAGAAGCACAGAGCTCAGTAGATATGGGGGGCGGGGGTAGTATAATAGAGTAGAAAGTCTTGGTTTATGGAAATCAAGTGCAAAGTACCATTTTGCATTGTGTTACTCTGATCCTGATTTGGGATTTGGTACTGTGGAAGCCCAGATTTATTAAATACAAGAAGAGCATTTTCCTAACTGCTAGATCACTGTGGGACTTTTGTTCAATTCAGGAGCACCAGTCTAACCCACTACATATTGACAGAAAGTTAAAAATATATAGATATAGACATCTATATAAATAAACTCTCTAGAACATTCGTGCTCAAGCGCGAGTTAGTTTGTATGATAAATTCTCACTGCTAACAGGTGGACCGGGGGAGTGTAGGTGGCAAATGCAGAAGGGTGACAATATCAAATTATTGCACACAAAAGCACCTTTTTTTCAGCATCACCTTGATTTATTTTCCTAGTCATTTTTTTTCCCTCAGATGGAAAAATAGTTTCATCAAGAAAACAAACGTTTCTGCCAAAGTGAAACAATTTCATGTTTTAATGCTTTTCTTAAAAAAAAAAAAAAAAAAAGTCGACACTGAACTAGTGCATGCTCTGCCCCCTCTCCCTCCTATGCTGACTACAAATTTTTTAATCCACTGGCAGAAATCAAGATACTTTCCTCAAGTGGGATGATTATATTTTATTGCTGCTTTGTTTAGTATATGTTTTTCTTGATTGGGAAAAAAAAGTCTAGGTGAAAAAAATTACCTAACAAGAGAAGTAGTTTACATGGTCATAACATTTAACTTGCTGCCAAAAGAAAAAAAAAACATGTAAAAAAAATTTTAAATGTAAAATATCACATAACTTCAAAAAACTTACCTCAATTTTCTATCACTTATCATGTACTATAAGTCAACTTTCTAAACAAGATTACAGTCCTTTATTATAAGCCCCTAGTGGTACTATGGTATACATTTAAAAAATGCTACTACAAAAATGTTCTTTTCTTTTCGTTTCTGCCTATTGTATACTTAAGCTATAGATAATTTTTGAATAAAAAGCCTACAGTAGGTATAAATGTAATAGTTAACTGATCCTGTTTGCTGATGTCCTTTTATGTTCCACAGAAGGTGGTGGCCTCTTTTAGTCCAGCATCTTCTCCTGTTTCTTGCCTTCCTTTTTCTTCTTCTTCGATTCTGCTGTGATTAAAAGGAAAAAAGAGAAAGAAAAGCAGCACATTAGTAAGCTATGGGCGGAAAGCCGCTTTCCTTATAACTGGCCAGCAATGAAATGATTAGATGATAGACAAGGTACCTTTGTGTGTGTTGTGTATGTACCTGTTCTTGCCAAGAGAGTGCCTATGAGAAGAGGCAGAAGTGATACAGCCTAGTTCTACGTGAACATCTATTAATGCCTGTTACCTTATTGGTTGCCCTGTGTAATACACAAAATACTGTCTGGGGATCCCATTGAGGAACAGATACACGAGTCATCTCTGAGAGAATGAGCCGGGTCACTGCTCAAAGGAGAGCTACGAGAGCTTTGCTTGGCCCCTTACTTCCCACCTTCTTTTTCCATGGGACCGATGATGAACATATTTTCTGATGGACAATTCCGACGTGCTTCCGCTTCTGATTTGCCCTCTGCTTCTATAGTTGGCCAGCTATTCACATATGAAGGACCAGCTATGAACTGCAGGGAGCTTGGACTCTGTAGGGACTTCTTCTACTCTTGAGTGAAGCAAATAGAATGTACTAACCTGGGCTAACCAGGTAAATAAAATTATGAGGTTTTAAATCAAGACTCTAACCTTTTCCATTTAATCACCTTGCCATCTCCCTTTTCCTAAGCATACGAGAATGCAGAATAGATAGGTCATGTCAATTTTGGCTCCAAAGATGAGAATGGTCAGAATCCCTGGGCCGGCAAGTGAAAGGATATTGCTAAATGCTTTCAAGATCCTTCCCCCATTTGGTCTACAGTAGTGGCAGAAATGTCTGGGTTAGGTACAGGCTCTGGAGCCAGAATGCCAGAGTTTAAATCCTGGCTCCATCCCTAAGTTATGAGACTCGGGGAAAGTTCGTCCATGTATTCAAAGATGAGAATGGTCAGAATCCCTGGGCCGGCAAGTGAAAGGATATTGCTAAATGCTTTCAAGATCCTTCCCCCATTTGGTCTACAGTAGTGGCAGAAACGTCTGGGTTAGGTACAGGCTCTGAAGCCAGACTGCCAGAGTTTAAATCCTGGCTCCATCCCTAAGTTATGAGACTTGGGGAAAGTTCATCCATGTATTTTTGTCTCAGATTCTTCACCTGTGAATGGACATATGAATAGTACCACTTCACAGGGTTAATGTCCAAACAAAATGAGCTGTATTAAATCCATTGAAAATAAAGCATGGCACAATGGACTGTGCTCAATAAAGGTTAGCAGTTATCATTAGTGGGATAATAGACTAAGAACAAGAGGTCATTTCTCTATATTATTAATAGTCTTCATCATCACTAGGACATATTGACCGAACAGGTCATTGAATGTGCTAAGCAACGGAGGAATACTGGGACAAAAGCAACGGCCAGCAAGGATCAGGGCCAAGAGGGCTCTCGGATTAGCGATGAGGGGAGACATGATGCTAATCACAAATGTGATACAAATCCCACTTTATACTTAAGCAGAGCTTTAACTTTTTCCATTCTTATCCTCATTACCAACTCAGATAAGTGCTAAACTTCATAAACTAAGGAAGTAGCATTCCTACAGCTTCCTTCCCTCAAACTTCCAGAGCGTACCACACACGATTAGGTCAGGACTTGCTAAAATCCTGCTAAATTGCTGCTCACAAGTATACGTTTTGTTCATGCCTACCCTCAGCTTCTTCTTTTCTATATCAAAGAGACTTCACACTTTCACTCTATTTTTGCTTGTCATTATAAATGTCTCCTTCTTTCGACCCATGCAAGGTGAGATAACCAGAACTTCCAAGTTTAAGGATACCTATCAGGTCAAAGAAAGTTTTCTGTTTAATCTCTGAACAAATAGCCAGTGACCGAACACTTAATAATGCCCAGTCCTTGGTTGCATTTTAAGCACCAGCTGTATATCAGAATAGCATCCTCAGGGAATAATCTGGGATGCTCACTGGGTGTAACTTTGGTTTCCCTTGTCTCAATTTCTCCAAATTCCTTACTGGGGAATGCTCTAGCTCTTCAGTACAGTGAGTGTTTGTGGCAAGAATCTGAATAGTTAGGGCAGCATGTCTCTATTTCACACATAAGTCTTAATGGATGTCTACTGATCAGGTGTTAGTATACATTTATTTAATAAAGCTTGAAGTTATTCTGATACTAAACATTATTCGATCTAACTAAGGTAGGTTGTTCATTTCAGGGAACATTTGGGAAAGGGACGCTCCCCTCAGTTCTCCTAGGTAAAGGAGAACATCCTCTTCCTGTTACCTGGGATGGACTTTTCTTTCAAATCCATTAATGAACACTTTGCTAAATAAAGAAATCAACCTATTGCCCATCTAATCTGCATAATGTCAATCAATTTATTATCTCTTTTGACAAACTGCCAAGTTATTATAGCATTTGTTTGACACACTGCAGAACTTAAGTCCACTTTGGGCTCCATCTAAATAGAAAAAGTGAGGTTATCTTCAGTAAAAAGCAGTGTGAAGAAGGAAGAATTTGCATTTGCGCGAGGTTACTTTGACTTCTCACATAACAAAGTGTTCAAAATTTTAGAGTAAAGGAGAAAATGGGGTCGACACTATTGCTTCCGATCAAAAGCAGTTTTTTGTGTGACTTTTATGTACGTTCTACTGAGACTAAATGAGCTCTGTTGCTACTTGTCTCTGTGGCCTCAAAAACTGTGAACAACCTTTCCAGCTTTCCCCTGTCTGTGTGAGGGTTTTTAAATAGCATCATGGAATCTGTGAACCTTAAAGAACCTAGTTCAACTCCCCTATGGAATGGATGAGGAAATAAAGACCAAAGAGCATCAGTGGTTCCTCAAGGTGCACAGTGATGCAGCGGCAGAATCAGAGGGGAGGCCATTCCCCAGCGCTTCGTCTGACGTCTGCAACGCAGCATCGTCTCCGCCAATCACATCCGTGGTAACTACCTATTGGTCTTACTTTGTGCTTCTGTCTGGCCCATTGTTCACGTCACCTCCCTTTACTTGAATCTCTACATTTATGCTTATTTCCATCCCCCACCTCCCTTTATTTGAATCTCTACATTTAATGCTTATTTCCATCCCCTAAGCCCATGATTCTTTTTCTCTCCTAGTCTTTGACCTTCAAAACCAACACCTCATTCCATCAATCCCACACTTCCACTGCTACCTCCGTCTTGTTAATGCCTCTCATCTTTCAAGTACCAGTTTTGACACGCCTTATAATTTGTCGACTCTTTGCTTTTATTTAGAAGCCATTTCTCTTTATTTCCCCTATCAGAGCATTTATCTCCTGTGAGAGGGCAGAATCTCTACTCACGGTTATATCCTCTGCCCATAACAGTGCCTAGTGCGCGATAGTTGATTAGTAAATGTTTAATGAAATAAATAAATCTGTAGCACGGAAAGAACTCATGCCTCACTTGCTCACCATACATGCATCTTCCTTACGGTGGTTCTTTGAATTTTCCTTGGTAATTTCCATCTCAGCCTTTACACATTACGTTCTTTCTACCTCAGCATTTTTTCTCCTACTATCTCAATTTTGCTTAGCCAACATCTACTCATCCTTAGGATCTTAGCTTCAATTTTACTTCCTCAAGGAAGCCTTCCCAGAGCTCCCAGGTTAATTAAGCTTGTTTCACCCACAGTGAGCTCCTTTCATTGTGCCTCTCATTGTTCTTACCAAAATGAGAACCGAACTATTAATTTCGTATCTCATTATTTAATATGCATTTTCCTCGTTCTAAGAGGGTAGAGACTGTGTCTATCTTTTGCATCCGTGTCTTCAGTGCCTTGTACACGAAAGGGGCTCCTGAAATGCTGGTTACACACAGAGTGAAGAGATGAACACTTGAATGGGAAATAAAAAGAGTCAGTCCATCAGTATATAGAAAATAGTATTTTCGAGGAAAGTAAGGAGTGTAAACGCAATCAGAATCTTGCAGTTTCAGTTTTTCTTCAAACAAGAATATTTTATAAAGCATAAAATTACAAACATATGTACATAAAATTTATCCAAATTTCTCAACACTTTTTTTTTTTTGGTCTTTTGTTTTTAAGTAGATAAAAGTAATATCCCGTTTTAGTAGCCTTTCAAGGTTACAGTAAAAAATCTTTACTATGAGCATGAAGGTCATGAATTGGCCAAGAGCAGCGCTCTCACTGGGTAATGCAAATTGAGTCATCACGACTACTATCAAAGGTTTTAAGAGCCAATGTGATCACTATTTGATGTGACACAGTAGGACACCTTAGTTCACACTGAAAAGAGTCAAGGGAAGAAATTATACACATGCTACACATCAAATAACACCCCAGGCTACATGTCCCTCTTCCCCACCTGCATCAAGGCTGTAAAGCAGAAATGGATGTAAACAGGAAATGAGCTATTGTCAAAATGTGTGAGGAAAGAGCACCGGCCTGAGAAGTGACTCGCGCGGTTCCCTTGCTTGATCCCTATCAAGATGTCATTGCGATGGAAACTCACAGTGGTGTCCCCGTGGCTGTTTTAACTTCCTGGGTTTACAATCTTGCATCCTTTTGCAGGGCAGTTTGCAAGTTTCTGAGGGATAGTACTCACCTCTCATGGTAGGTATGTCAACATTTTTATTATTTTAATAAAATCAAGTTGTTTTAAGATACGTTTGAAAGTGTTCAGAAAGTCCTAAGACTCTCCTAAAAAGAAATACCCTAGCAAGGATTCAGGCTCTTCATATTGCTATGATTCATACATAGCAGCTGGAGCGCCATCTTTACCACTTTTTATGTAGAAAACTCAAAGCTAGCCCAGACAATTCTTTCAATGCATAGGAGCTGCTGATAGCAAAGAAGAGAGGTTGTCAGAAGAGGCATAGGAGTTAATCTGAGCCATGCTACAATAAATTCTGAGCCCATAATTTTTTTTTATTCTGAAAACAAAATCTGGATGGACACTTAAGTAATGAGTGGCACCACGGCCATTTGTTTGGTAAGGCAAGGAAGAAACAATTCCATTAAGACTACATCGAGAACCAAGTCTTCGCCTGGGGAATTGCTTTTAATCGATGTCTGCCATTTACCGCCTCTGGGATCTTGGACAAATCAATCATTCTGCACCTGCTTCTTGTAAACTGGGGATAATAAAACCTGGTATATCCTCCTCATAGGGCCATCGGGAACATCTGGCAATTACGTTCTCTCAGATCCTATTTTACTGCTACTGTTCAAAAACAAATTTGTTTAGCAAACATACGCTTTATATCCACTCTGTATCAGGCGCTGTTCTAGATGCTGGCGTAAAATGGCAAACGAGACTCAATTCTGCTTTCATCGGGCTCACGTTCCAAGTCACGTTTTCAAGATGGTTCGATGTGAGGGTCTTTCAACAATGTAAAGTATGTATTTATATTAAAAGTATGTATTTATATTAAAGATCGTGTGCATGTGGCAGCTAATTTTATGGCTTCAATGCCTGTTTCTCTCACTGCTAGTTTACTATGATCTCACAGATAAATGTGATGTAAAAGACAGAGCCTCCACAGGGAGAATTAATTACTAGGGAGAAAAAGTATATCTGTAGTAGATTTAGCCTAAAGAGAAGAGAAAGTTCCTCCTCTCTGAGTTATTTCATTCTTCCTTAAAACATATTAATTACTTTTCTGGGTTTAAAAGTAATATAGGCTTACACAGAAAAATGTTAACAGAAATTATTCATAGTTTTACAATATAGAGATAACACTTTTAATAGTAGGTTCTATTTATGTTTCCTTTCTATGAATATATATATATATATATGTATATATATATAATATATACTTTAACTAGGAACATATTGTCAGTCGATAAAGTATATTACACTAAAAATTCTATTGTATTATTTTCCATGCCATTGCATATATTTTGAAACATGACCAAGTAGTATTTCTTTATGATGTTCTAGCCCACATTTTTTATAATCTTTTTTCTTTGGTTGGTCAGGTGGTATGCTCTCACTTTTTGTTATTATATGTCATGATTTGATGTAGTTTTTTTGCACATAAATTGTTGTATGTTCAAGTTTTGCTTTAGTATATATTATTAGAAGAGGATCTACTGGATCAAAGAACAAGATATTTTTAAAGCTTTAGATATGTATGAGCAAATTTACTTTTTTAAAGGAAGTACTAATTTAAAAATTTATTAGCAACTTATATTAGAGCCTCATTCTCAAAAGGCCAATAATCAAACAGCATGCATTGTCTCTTCTCCATCTATTCGCTGGCCTTTTTAGGAATGGGACTGCCATGTAGTCGATACAAGTAAACATCCAAATTTTAACATTAGGGAAATCTTGGACAAACAGGGTTGTGAGTGGGCCTTGAAAGAAAGGTGTCAATTTAAAGGTTTTTTTAAGATCTTAAGGGGGAGATGTTATTCCAAGAAGTGGAAGAGTTGAGAATTCTGGAATAAGCTTATCTTCCTTTCCTTTTTTTAAAATGGCATGCTGTATATACAGAAAACATAAAAAGGAGATTAAGATACAGAATGATTGAGAGGAGCCTGGATTTTAACTAAAGTGAGTCAACTTGTTATTACCAATCTATATAAAATGAATCTGGGTCATGAAAACAATGGGAGGAAATATTAATTAGAATAGGAAGAAGATTTTCACATTTTCTAAGAGGTAGAATTCATCTACGAGGAAGCTAGGGACACTCAGAAATGGACATTGGATTCATAGATCAATGCCACTGGACAGGGACAGCTGGCGGTGTGCCATAGAGATCACTAATGCTTAACTATGGAGACTCATTCAATAAAGCCTGAGAACCGAGGAAGAAAAAGGATTGTATGCTGCCAACACTACTATCACAAGGTAAATACTCCCAAAAGCCTGGGTATCACCAAGATCCTGTTAATGCCTCAGAAGCCTATTTAAAGAAACTTGTCTGTACTTAAGAATTATCCGCCCTGTCACCTAATCCCTTGCACCTTGTCAGCTGTGACTCAGAACTGATAATAAGGCTTTTTGCATCGTGAATATACAATACAGTGATCCATCTAGAATCCAGGTGCTAGTCCTGACATGGCATTATATTTCCCAATATTTCAGTTTAAATTGAGGTAGCATATAGGATACATGCCATAAGACCAGAAGAAATTTTTATTTAAAAAATCAAAAGCATAGTCCTTTAACAATGCTTTTTAATATGTCATTCTAGATACGGGTCAGTCCAATGTCTGTGTAGTAATTCCGTTGTTTCTTCTTTGATTTCTTATGTTGTAATAACCCCGTGTTTCATTTCTTCTTTTATGGACTCGATGCATTTACTTATAGGATTATATATGGAATACATACATACGACTGCTCCTCAATGCTGCCCACATGCTGATACCTGTCCTTTATCTCACTGTCCACCTTTTTCGCTCATCAACTCTCTCTTTTATAACAGTACCTACCACTCCCTCTCAACTATCTGCCCTCCCACAAACGTTTGCTTTCCGATAGCAAGTAGATGTGAACAAAAGATATGTATCTGTGTCTGGACACAAACTAACCACGTCTGGACCCTTTAAGAAACCTCTGTTTTGCCCCCATTTACTTTTGAGGTGACTCAGCACTTAACTGTATCTCCTCAAAATAGAAGTTTCCGCTATGAAAACACTCGTAAGTAATGTAGATTTAACTGAAGTTTTAGTGGATGAGGAAATTATTTTGCCAACCACACAGAACAAGCTTAATAAAAATCCTTAAACATGTCAGTTACTTTCCAAAGCAACTCACCCAGTATCGGCAGACTAAGCTCTTTTCCCTTCACCCGAAGAGTCTTTACAGCTTTTTCTGTCTCTCTTGCTCCTGTCCCTCCATTTCCCTTTCTTTAAGGGAAGCAATTGTGATATCTGTTAGCTTCTCTAACCCATCGACACAGGGACCCTTTTCAGGATGCACTTTCTTTATAAATGTGTTGGAATTACTCCTTGATCTGACCTGTATGCAAGTGTATGGCAGGCAGAGACTCCCCAAGCCAAACCCCTCTTTTTAGCTCAATACATCTACGCCATCCTTATGTATTAGCTACACCTGTTCATTTGTTTGGAAGTGTACAAACATTAAGCATAAAACAAAAAGCTGAAAGTTTTTGCGGATTATTCCTTTGAGAGAAAAGCAGTGAGAAAGAGAATCAGGGGTACTTCATCTGTACGTCTTTCCAGAAGACAATCAAAAGCTACGTACATGTGTGTACGTGTGTGTGTATTCAATATTCACCTGCTACATTTTATCTTTTTCATCTTTGGCAAAAAAAAATGTTTTTAAGTACTAAATAAAATTGAAGAGAAGCAAACATAGTTAAACAAGGGAAAGTGTACAAAGAATATTTAATTTTATTTAGGCAGCTCTGAGAATGTGGATACACTAACGTCTGTAAATGTGTGGGCACAATAATACACATTTCTGTTAGCTATGTTAGAGTCTCAGGCTCTGTGTGTGTGGGAGGGTGGGATGGGTGGTTTGATAGTTGCTATGTGCTGTCATATCTGGTAGTAACGGTGGCCCTAAAAACATTCCCACGTCCTCCAAAGTTACTTTGAAGAACTCTATGGAGTTAGGTAGGATAGAGCAACATGCTTAAAGGCTCCTGTGAGTTCATACACAAACACTCACACCACACACACACACACACACACACACACACACACACACACAAAACCATAGAAACCATGGATGGGGGAAATTAATGTTTGGATTTTTCTCTGTTCAACAAAAGCATCCACCCTTCCTCTATCTGTAGACCACTCTCAAGACCCAACACTTCTAGACAGTGATCTCCCCACACACAGATTCACTGGCTTTTTCCACCCCAAAGCAGGAAAGAAGGACATTTATTTCTGACACAATATTAAATATTTAAAAGCTTGCTTCTGTAACAATGAGGGCACAAGTGGAAAATTCTCATATTGTAAAATTTCATAAATTATATCGGTAGCCTAAGTCAGAAATGGAAACGTGTTATTATAAATAATAATGAAGTTCCCACTTAGTACATCATTCTTTCCTATGATCATATCTGATGTTTAATATTATACAGCTGGTGCTACTGGAAAATCAAATGATGATTTATGAAAAAAGGGGAAAGCTTGAACTCTAGAATATTTAAAATTCCAGTAGGTACAGCCCCACAAATCATGTTTTATTTGCTTCCAAGTGGACTTTTCTTTTCAATCATGATGGGA